ACTTCAATCATTCATGTGCTCATTCGTTCCCTTGTTCCGTACTGTCTTGGCTGCTTTTGAGCTACAATGGCAGAACTGAGTAGTTGTAACAGAACCACTCGGCCTGCAGAGGCCTGAAACATTTACTGTCTGCCCCTTTATAGATAACTTGTTCATCACTGTAGGTATATACCAATATTAATTCCCTGTGGACAGGGGGCTGGACACAGGCATTTCCTTGAACTGTCGAGGGAATTATAAAAACTAGAAATAATTTTGTTTAAACACACTTGCAAGAGGCAAGGAGAATTGCAGATTAAATGTCCAAGAAAAAAGAAAAGTTTCTTTCCAAATGATTTAACAACCTGCCTGGGACTGTAAACTATACTACAGTGAGAAGGTCTAGCACAAATTGTTCAGTTTTTTTTTTTTTTGGGCGGGGTGGGGGGGAACCTAGTCTCGCTGTGTCGCCCAAGCTGGAGTCCAATAGTGCGATCTCATCTCACTGCAACCTCCACCTCCTGGGTTCAAGCATTCCCCTGCCCCAGCCTCCCGAGTAGCTGGGATTACAGGTGGCCACCACCATGCCCAGCTAATTTTTTGTATTTTTAGTAGAGACGAAGTTTCACCACGTTTGCCAGACTGGTCTCGAAATCCCGATCTGCCTGCCTCGGCCTCCAAAATGCTGGGATTACAGGCGTAAGCCATCACGCCCGGCCTGTGCTGAACAGGCAGGCAGATTGCCTGAGGTCAGCAGTTCGAGACCAGTCTGGCCAACATGGTGAACCCTGTCTCTGCTAAAAATACAAAAAAATTACCTGGGCATGGTGACAGGCGCCTGTAATCCCAGCTACTTGGGAGGCTGAGGCAGGGGAATGGCTTGAACCCAGGGGGTGGAGGTAGCAGTGAGCCACGATCGTGCCACCACACTCTAGTCTGGGAGACAGGGTAAGACTCCATCTCAATAAACAAATAATATACTGACATCAGTAAAATTACTTTATTTTAGTAACCCCAGAACATAAAGGATAGCTAACCCCAGTCGCTAACTGCTGAAATGTTTTGCCCTTACTTGCTATTTTAGGAACTGATTAACACAGTCTCAAGGTGTTCCTTCTAATTAGAAAAATTATAAGCTCTAATTTAGAAAATTTATAGGCTTTAGATAATGACTATCCACTTGGCTAATGGTGTTATCATTCCATGAGTCTTAGTTAGAATCTTCGTATATACAGAAACAGTTTCCCGCCAAAATTTTTGTCTATACTTACTAAACAGAAACCCCAAACATAAAATACTCAAGGGCGAAAAGAAAGGGCAAAGTGATATAGATGGATTTAGACCTAAATACAGATCTATAGCTCTAGCTATCTAAAATGTTTTGGAAGATAATCTGAGTGAAGACATCTAGAGAATTTTCCCTAAGCATTTGGGACAAAAATTAAAATCTTATCTGTGTGTGTGAATATATATATATATATATATATATATATATATATATATATATATATATATATACATACACACACACACACACACACAACCCTAAATGTATTCTTATCTAGTGAAATTCAGTAAGAGCCCAAAATAAGGATCTACACTCAGAAAAGCCTTTTACACAGGAACTAAGAAGTTCACCAAGTCATTGTGTTGTTTTAATCTCCCCGCCAGGCAACCACGCAGTGAGAAATCCAAACTCTGTTTTCTCTCCTCTCCGGAAAGCGTTATTTCCTTCGGGCAGGGTGGCCTCTGTACGGTGGTTCAGAGCCATCTATCTTCCTCCCCAAATCCTATTACCAAAATGTCTTTTAGACACTCGGGTAAAAGCGTCTACATGACTTTCCTACGGCAGCCCCATGTGCCTAGATTTACGGGTTCACCAAATTGAGCACAAAGGAATGAAACCGCTTCTCAGAAAACAATTTTCAACATGGGACACCAAAAAATAGGCAAAAAAGTAAAGGCCCACTTAAAAAGCTTCTCCTCTTAGTTTAGGCTGCTCGTTCACAAAGAGCAGGTCCACTGGTCCGTGGAGGACCTAGAGGGAGGGTCCCGACCGAGGGGAGAGCAGGCGCAGAGCGGACCTCGAGGGACCGTCGCGGGGGCGGGAGGACCAGCGCAGCAGGTGGAGGAGGCCACAGGCGCCGGGCGCGCACTCACACAGGTGGCGGGCAGGGCTGCGCGGGGTTCGGAGGAGCCTCGACCAGAAGCAGCAGGAAAAGTGCACGCAGAGTTGAGATGACCAGAGAGGAGCGGAAACGGGAAGGGTCAGTGAGGGGAAAGGCATGCGATGGGAATGGGCTAGTTTCTAGTTTTCCTTTCTTTCTCCTCCAATAACTCACCAAGGAAATCTCACTGACAAGACAGGGGAGAGGAAAGGAAACGGAAAGCAGTGTCCACGAACCGCTTAAGTAGCCGCAGGAGGAGACCGAGCCCAGCGCCTCCGCCTCGCTTCCCGGTCCCGCCCACCCCCGTCCCCGCGCAGTGGCTTCTGCGCCTGCGCCAGTCAGCGCGCCCCGCCGGCCAGCCCCCAGTGCGCCTGCACTCTACGCCCACGCCCGGAGCCGCGTCGGGCCGGGCACGTGACTCTCGTCTCTCACTGCAGCCTATCCGAGCCCTCCGAGCTCCTCGGGCTTCTCCTCTACCTCGTCCTGCTGGCGGCCTTGGCCGTGCGTCCGCGGGGTCTCAGCCGCTCGCTCCGCCCACACCGGGATTGGGGCCTGCGCACAAAAGTCTTACTGTGTGGCGTCTGCGCACCAGCTGCGCTTTGCACTGTAGTAGGATTTTTCATTTTCCCCAGATAAACAGAGAAAAGAGCAAGGTTTTCAAGGGGACACCATTCTTACCCCGTTAACTTTCAAAGAGACTTAAAAACAGTGGCTTCCAAATGAGCTTCTCTACAGACGGCACTGCAGAAAGAGGGAACAGAGGAGACCTAGTTAGCAGTGCCGCTTTCCACTTCCTTGTCGCCTAGTAACGGTTTCCACGGCAACCGAGCAGTCAATAACGCTTAGCAATCCCAAGATAAATAGGGTGTTTTCTTCCCGAGAGAGTACTGCTAAGAGGGGGTCAAAGGGAGACGATGTGAAAGAGAGAACCCGAGGTCCTTGAGAAGGCAAAGAAGTAAGAAAGGGACGGAGATACTGGGTCAGGGAGAAAAAGTTGAGAATAGTAGCTTTTAAGGAGTCATTTGTGGCCATGGATCCAACGTGCCCTTCTGAGTGCATTTATAACCTCATACCCAGTGACTTGAAGGAGCCTTCCCAGCCTCCTAGGTATGTGGGTAAGCAAAGTCTATCACTTGAAACAAGAATGGGGAATACTCAGTATTAATTAAGCCTACATATACTGGGACTTTTAATAATGAAATGTATTTTTACCCCAATGAAGTAGCCTTAGAGGATAACTTGTGAGAGAAAAGGTCGAAATATCTAGGTATTTAGCATCTCACAGTTTCACAGAGACGGCAGTCCAGCGCTGTGAGATGACCATTTTACACTTAACCTCTTACTAATATGGTATGTGATTATTGTGTAATTTATCTAATATGTGATGTGGTATACAACATAGCTTGAAGTTTCATGTTGTTGAAAAAAGAAAAATCACAATTCTATTATCTTGTTTAAGGATACTTGATGTTTGGTTTCAGGAGTTCGGTTGCCCTCCTTCTCCCTCTCTGATGGGATAGTACTTATTTTCTCCCCAAGATTGTTAAGAAATATAAATTCACATTTGCTTCTGAGCCTCAGGTTTTTGATCAGTGACACGAAATATCTACTACTGTTAGACAGTTTCTAAGGACTTTTTCAGATCTAATGGTTTAATGGAAGGAAGAATGGGTGGGTAGATATGAACCAAAAAATATGTAATTGAGTTGAAATTTTACATAGGTCTTAGAGCCTCTGTATCCTCCAAATCTCAAAAACGTAATAGCAAAGTAAGCACTTCAGTTACTCCCATCTGTAGGGACTTCTTAGAACTTGCTTAAATCTGTGGGGAGCAAAGAAACTAACTAGTGGAGAAAATCTCATCTCTTCTAAGACTTGAAATGTTTCCTGTATTTTACCACCATCCTCGTCCTTATGCAGGTCAAAACCACATTTAAAAAGGACAGGACTCAAAAACAGGCTTAGCAACTAATTGTCTTTGTGATCCTGAATAAAGTTTCATTTGTTTACTGATCTGTAAGATAAACGTACTAGATAATATATAAGGTCTTTTTAGATCTAATGGTAAATTATTTTTACTAGTATTGGAGTAACAGCTTCAACAAGTGGGCAACTTCTTCAATTTTAAGAATCTGATTTAAACTAGAGCAGTAACTATATTATGTTACCATTAGCATAACAAAATCTAGAGATTGGAAAGAGAAATGTCAAGTACGAATTTATGAGTAGTGCCTAAGTATCTGGTTTAAACTAGAGAAGTAACTATGCTATATTTCCATTCGCTTATCAAAATCTAGAGATTGGAAAGGGGAATGTAAAGTAAGAATTTATGAGTAGTGTTCAAACTGTCTATTGTTCAACCAACTTTTGTTTTCAAATTCGTGCATATTACATGAGATAAAACCCCTACTCTCTGTAACACATTGGTAGATTGTATTTCTATAGAATATTAAATTTGAATGTTATTTTATTAGGTAAGTATTCTGTTCCTTGCAAATTAAAAAGTTTTACTGCATCTAGATGATTTTTTTTTTCAAAAAATTTTATAGAAACAGTCTTTATTCATTTGGCAAGCGTTAATGGTGTCCCTATTATGTGTATAACATTACGCTAGTATATCTGTTCTTGGTGATGTTGGAGTGATAGCACAGACTTCTTGGTGTTACTTTGAAGAAATGAATAGAAGAAAGATTTAAGATGAGATGAAATAGAAGGCACCCAACTGTGATGCCAAAAGAATCGTTTCTGTTAAGTTAAAGTCAGTTTACACTGGCAAAATTATGACAACTGCCTGACTTTTAATCTCCCATGCCTCAAAATTTCTAGTCTTTTGGGGAACTGAAATATTAACACTAAAATTTATTATTGAAAACCGTAATGAGAGATGAAGACACTAAATGAGAACTTAGAAGATGAACGTATGTGACCAAAATTGGATAAAGGGCACATTCCTGCAGTTGAACTATGAACTGAGACTTCAGTTATGAAAGTCTCTAAGCCAATGGGAAGCCATGATTCAGTTTTCAAAATTTGAGTTACTCATGATGCATAAGATGCATTCCAAGATCTTCATCAAATCTACCACCCTTTATTGATGTCTACAGTTATTATCTCCAATCATTCCCTTTTTCCATTTTGTTTAAAGCGATATTCCAGTTATGATCTGAACTGTCTGTGAAACTATTATCTCCTTTCCATAATTCTTTTTTTTTTTTTTAATCCATTCAGCCTAAGCTTCCGTAAGCATTTTGACAGTCATGTCCTACTATTGGCTCACATTGAAATACCCTGTATGGATTTTGACTGAGGTTGGTCTCTCCCATCCTCTAATTATGTAGCTGATTCTTTTTTACCTGCACTCATCAATCTGTGAGGATATTTTTGAATTTGAATCTTTTATACATTCTGTTAGCCATTCTTCCCAGATTTGTGTCATTTGCCAATATACTAAGAATTTCTTTTATATCTCTTCTCTATCATTGAACATGGTATATTAGTCTGTTCTCACACTGTTAATAAAAACCTACCTGAGACTCAGTAGTTTACATATAAAAAGAGGTTCAACTGACTCATAGTCTCACATTGCTGAGGAGGCCTCACAATCATGGTAGAAGGTGAAAGAGGAGCAAAGTCACAGCTTACATGGTGGCAGGCAAGACAGTATGTCCAGGGGAACTCTCCTTTACAAAACCACCAGATCTCATGAGACTCATTCACTGTCATGAGAACAACACAGGAAAGACCCACCCCATGATTCAATTACCTATCACCAAGTCCCTCCCACTACATGTGGGAATTATGGAATCTCATCAATTCAAGATGAAATTTGGGTGGGGACCCAGCCAATCATATCATTCCACCCCAGTCCCTCCCAAATCTCATGTCCTCACATTTCAAAACCAATCATGCCTTCCCAACAGTCACAGGCCCCCAAAATCTTAACTCATTTCAGCATTAACTCAAAAGTCCACACTTCAAAGTCTCATCTGAGACCAGGCAAGTCCCTTCCATCTATGAGCCTGTAAAATCAAAAGCTAGGACACAGGTAAAATCAAGTAATGGGTTAAACAGTTTCAGTTTTTAAAAATATTATCAAGATGGATATCCAATAATAATCATAACAAGAATACTGTTCCCATTAATAATAATATGTTCAATGTATTAGAATTTAAACTATGCCAGTTGTTGCTGTTTTTCACAAGAATCCTATGGGATAAGTAGTAATCCCAGTGTTAACAGAAGAAAAATCTCAGGTTCAAAATTTGAGGCAATGATGAAGAACAAGGGCTGAGATTGAGACACAAATCTAATACCAAAGCTCATAACTTTAATTGGCTTGCACTGTCTTGTAGCCTGCATCAATAAAACAAACTGAATACTTTTTGCTTCAGTAACATCTATAATTGTTTAGTTTTTGATAATTTATTAGTATGTGGTGTTTATACACAATCATATTCTAATGCAATGAGATTTATTTGATGAGGCTATCGAAGCAAATGGGAAATTATGATAGAAAAGTAAGGTAAAGCTACAAATGAGGACCTACATGAAATGTTTGCTTTAAAATCATGTATGCTTGCTTGAAGTCTGAAACAAATTTGACTCCACTAGTTAAGAAGCCAGCCCAGAAAGGAAGAAAGATCCTTCCCATGCCTTTCAATTACACTCTAAGTCACATTGTCCAAAGACAAAAGTAAAGCAGTAGCCGAAGAGGAGCACAGATGTTCTTGGTGTGCAGCCACAAATACACTTCCTCCAGGATTCATGGAGAGAGACGACCATGTGTGTAATATAATAAATAAAGACTTCAGCCGCACTTTTACATTAAATCTACTGAGTTTCCTAAGTCTAATATTGCTCTTGTTATAGACCAGTGTCCCAGTATGATAACATAACAAAAGCAGTTTTGGAGACATCAATGTGTTGTGCTCTGGGTTTGCAGCTATCTGACTGTATAGTTTAATTCAAGGATAGATATTCCTGCTATCTAGATTGGCACAGTCTAATAGAAATGTAATGAGAGTCATATATGTAATTTAAATTTTTTCTAATAGTCACTTTTAAAAAGTAAAAATAACAGGAAAAATTAACTTTATGTACTTTATTTAATGCAATATATCCAAAAATACTGTGATTTGAGCATGTGGCACCAGCCACATTTCAAGTGCTCAATATCCACATGTGACTGTATTACACAGCACAGATGTAGATGAATACATTAACTACATATCTTTTGATATTCCATATATTATTTCACTCAACAGCTTGTGAGAGGTATTGAGCAGCACTAAGATAATCATTATACTCAAAGACATATGCCTGTGTTGTCAAGTAAGTGAAGAGCAGAGCTATGACAGACAACCAGGCTGGGGGAAGAATTGGCACCCATTTTTGAAAATTTAGTTGCATGATATAGACATGAGCCTGAACTGAACACTCTCATTTCATGTCTGTAGGTAGACTTAAGGGGTATCTGTGTACATGTAAAATTTATTCTCAAGAAACAATTTGGATAATTTTCTAACACAGCCTAGGCTCCAGAGTTCAGAGTTCCACACAGTAGTGGAATGCTGCAGTAATACTGGCCAAAAAGTGAAAAAGAAAAGTTGTTAAGCACTTTCAAACTATCCCAACTTTTTGAGCAATATCATTTATTTGTGTGCCTTTTAAAATAAATGGCTTTTTAAAATATAAATCTACTGTCTTAATCACTACTGCATGGTGATTATTGGCAGTAAAATACAGTTTTGGTATGTTTATTGAAGATGACAATTTTAGTTTGAGAATAACTTATCTTTGGCCCATATCTAGTAATAAATAGAAAATAGAGCCAATTATCCATCACACTGCCTGACTTCAAACTATACTACAGGGCTACAGTAACCAAAACAGCATGGTACTGGTACAAGAACAGACACGTAGATCAATAGAACAGAATAGAGAACCAGAAATAAGACTGCCCACCTACAAGTATTTGATCTTTGACAAACCTGACAAAAACAAGCAATGGGAAAAGGACTAGCTATTCAATATATGGTGCTGGGAGAACTTGTAGGCAATATGCAAAAGAGTAAAACTGGACCCCTTCCTTGAACCATATACAGAAA